TTAATCAGATGGTGACTCTAGTTGAAGCTGTTTTCCCAGATGTAGTGCAGTAGAGCCCCTGGCACTCGGCATGCAGCTAAAGCCTTTTTTTCCAGACCAATTTATAAAGATCACTGGAAGTAGTTTGCTTCTACCTGGCATGGCCAGCAGTATATCTTCACAGTGTTGCTTCAGAACAATGTCAGTTCTCCCGTTCTCTACCATAATATATAGTTCAAGGGTCCCCAACTCCCAGGCCACGGACCAGTACCGGTCTGTCACCTGTTAGGAACTGGGCTGCACGGCAAGAGGTGAGCAGTGGGCCAGTGAGCGAAGCTTCATCACTATTTGCAGACGCTCCCCAGCAATAGCATCCCCATCTCAGCTCCAACTCAGATCAATTAGATTCTCATAGGAGCACTGGTCCCTGGTGCCAAAAAGGTTGGGGACCGCTACTATAGTCCACAGACATCTTGATCATCTTGACGGTCCACAAAACATCAGTCTACCACACTGATGACATTGTGATTGGATCCAATGAGCCGAAAGTACCAAGTACTTTAGATGCCTTAGTAAGACAAGCAAACAAGAGGGTAGAATTTAATCCCCTTCCCCCCAAAATTCAGGGATTTGCCACCTCAGAGAAGTTTTGGTGTTGGGGCGGGGGGTCAATGGTCTAGAGTATGTCAAAATATCCCCTCCACGTTGAAAGACAAGTAACTGTACCTAACACCCCACCACCACCACCACCCCACTACCATCTGCTCAGGCAGGTTTAAAAAATTAAAAAGGCACAATGTTTGGTAGGCTTTTTTGGTTTTTGAAGACAACATATACCACATTTGAGTGTGCTGCTTTGACCAAACTACAGACTCACAGCTGTAAAGCTGCTAGATTCAAGGTGAGACCAGGGCAAGAGTATGTTTAACAGTAACTTCAAGCTCTACAGTAGGCTGCTCTACTACTTAGGCCTTATACTCCAGGACATCCAATTATATTTTGAAGTGTCCATGTCCAACAGGAATGCTGTATAGAGTCCATGGCCAGGACCAACAGGAGAATCATATTGCAGGATTTTGGAGCAAGTCTACGCCCTCTTCTTCTGCAGATACCTATTCTCCTTTTGAGAAACAGCTTCTGGCTAGCTACTGGGCCACAGTAGGGATGGAACACCTAACCATGGGACATCAGGTGACCATGCAGCCTGAACCTCCCCTCATAAACTAGCAGTTTCTGACTCAAATAGCCATAATGTTGGGCATATGCAGCTACAATCTACAAAGTGGAGCTAGTACATGAGACCAAGCTCAGGCAGGTCCAAAAGGCACAAGTTACATGAGCAGGTGGCTCACGTTCGTTCGACACCAGCTCCTGTTGCATTGTCTCCTGGGGGGTTCCGTAAGACCAGTGGACCAAGGAAGACAAAACACAAGCCTGCTTTATAGATGGATTTGTACAATATGCTGGTACAACCTGCAAGTGGACAGTCGCAGCACTTCATCCCTACTCAAACTGATGTTGAAGGACAGTTAGTGAAGGAAAATCCTCTAGTGGGCATAACTTCAAGCAGTGTATTTGGTTGTTCGCTATATTGGAGTGTGAGGTGGCCAGAAGTACAAATCTAGACTAATTCATGGGCAGTTGCCAATGGTTTGACTGACGGTCAGGGATTCAGAAGAAACAGGATTACAAGGCCAGTGAAAAGGAAGTCTAGGAAAGCGGTGTATGGATGGACTCCTTGAATGACTATATACTATGAAATATTTGTATTCCATATGAATGCCCACCAAAAGGCATCCACCGCAGAGGACTCTTAATAACTAGGAATACACCAGTGACATGCACTGTGGATGTCAGCCAGCAGCCTTTCTCCAGCCACCTCAAGTGCTTGCTCAGTGAGTCTGTGAGCCATAGTTGCAGGGATGGAGGCTATGCATGGGCTCAACAGCATGGACTTCCATTTTCCCTGCCCTCAGTAGTACTTCTGCTGGCATCTATCTAATGTGCCAACTGCAGGGATTAACACCAAGTCCCCAATATGGCACTATTCCTTGTGGGGATTGGCCACCTACCTGGTGCCAGGCTGATTACCATCTTCTATTATGGAGGGGGCAGAGAACTGTCCTCAGAGGAATAGACATATATTCTGGATATGGATTTGCCTTCCCTGCCCGTAATCTTCCCTGACCAACACCAGCATCTATGGACTCTGAATGCCTTATCACCACCATGGCATTACACACAGTATTGCATCTGATCAAGGAACTCTTTTCACAGTAAAGTAAGTACAGCAATGGGCTCAGGTCCATAGATTTAACCGGTCTTACCACATATACCAACATCTGAAAGCAGCTAGCCTAATTGAATGGTGGAATGACCTACTGAAAACTCAACTACAGTACCATTTGATATCATTTTACAGAATACAGTTTATACTTTGAATAACAGACCATTGTATGGTACTCTTGCCTCCACAGCCTAAGTACGTGGGTCTAGAAAATGGGTAGATGTTGGAGTGACTGCTCTATCACACCTCATAACCTTGCAGAATCTTTGTTTCCTGTCCCAGCAACTTAAAGCTCTGCTAGTGTATAGATCTTAGTTCCCACCCAAGGGAAGAATGCTTCAACCAGAAGACACAATGGTTCCATTGAGTTGGAAGACGAGACTACCACCTGGACATTTTGGGCTCTTCATATTACTGACCCAAAGGGCAAAAAAAAAAAAAAAAAAGGAGGGTGGGAAAGTGTAATCTACTTGTGTGACTCCTCCTGATTACCAAGGGGAAATTGGGTACTCCTACACAACGCAGGCAAGATGGCATACATCCAATAGTAAAGATTAATGGAAAACTACAGCAACAACAAAAAGGAGGTGGGAGCAGGATAATTAAGGAGTCAGGCCCTTAGAGACTGAAGATTTGGGGCCCTTTACCAGGTAAAGAACCCCAAGCTGATGTTCGAGCTTCAGGCAGAGTAAATATGGAAGGGGCAGTGAAAGAATACATATGTTATAGTGTTGTGACCAATTACAGAAATGAAGGCTGTAACTTTATTTTCCATTTGCTTGTGGCATCTACATGATAATTTATGTATGCTAACCGTTTTTTCTCTTCCTGTTTTTATGTAAAATTGTTAGAAATTAACTTTGCAACTTAGTCTTTAGGTAACAGAACATTCAATGGGGCTGTGGCTGGATTTGAGGTGTAACCAAAAGAGCCATCAGCAGATAAATGTTTCTTGGAACTGCACGTCTCGTTTTGGACGCTTGAAAACTGGTTCACTTATAAAAAGGGTAGCTGTTTTTGTTAGGCAGAAATAGTTTTGTTTTTATATGGGAGTTCAGTGTGTATAAATGAGTGTCTATGGAAGCTGAGTCATCAAAGGGTAGACTGTCCCAATTACCAATTTAGTGCCTCTCAGCTCCAAATTCACCCCTTTTTGCCTGCTCTGTGAAGGTGGATTTGAGCCCTTTAGATTTTTCCTTGCCAGCTGCCATTGAAGCTTTGTCAGAGGATGCTGGAGACAAGGTGCAGAAAGAAAGGGCTCCGCCTTCCAGTTCTAGTGTGCTCACTTGAAAGTAACATGTGCAGCTTTCTCTCGCATCATGCTCCCATAGTGTTCACAGATTCCCGTGCCCAGCTCCTGCAGTGCACAACAGGCGGCAGCACCCAGTACCCAGCAGCTTCACTGGGCACTCCCCTCCTCTCCAGGCAGTTTGGTAGCAAAGTGAGATGCTGTCCCGTAAATAGCTTTTCCTAACACACTAGAGAGCATATCTCTGACAGGTTCCAGGGGGAGGATTTTCAGCAAGGCCTTAATCTCAGCCTTGGACACTATGTCAGCCCTAGGGGTAGTAACTGTTCCTTTTATCTGCTATTCCTACATTCTTTAAAATTTTCTTATTACTAGTCAATCTCTGGTTATGCCAATCCCATTATAGTTAATTCCTGAAGTGATATTTTTCCTAATTATTGTATGGTTTCTCTCTCCTGATTAGACCTGGATTAAGCTGACACTAGCTTAGACGAGACAGTTGCAGAGAATGAAAAGTGGGAAAATTCAAAAAACAGAAAATAAAATTGATAGGACTTGGTAACAGATTAGACAAGGGAAGTGAGAGGGAGGGAAAGATAAATGTTCAGTTTATATAACTGGATGAATGGTGGAACCTACACAGAAACCATTGGAAAGGGGCCATGTGTGAGGGGAAAACTCAAGCTCGGTTTTGAACAATGTTGAATTTGAGTTGACTTTGAAGACACCCAAAATATATCGTGTAGGCAGTTGGCTCTAAATTCTCAAATTCAGAGAAGTCTGGGATTAAGAATGGAGCCACCTCCCTTAAAGTGATAAGTGAAGCTACAAGCATAGTTGAAATGGCCCAGGGAAAAAGTAAACGGTGAGAAAAGAGGGCCCAGCTTGAGGAATGCCAACTTTTAATAGCTGGATAGAGGAAGATGAGCCTGCAAAGAAAATATTGAAACTGTCAGAGAAGTAGAGGGAAATAAGGACAGTATTGTGTCCCAGAAGTAAAGGGTGGCAGCCAGAGGTGCACGGCTCCCATCCCTCTTTAAGAGAATTTGCTGTAGTTGACTGCCTGCCATGAGCTGTCGTGTCTTCAGCTCTCCCACATCTTCAGATCAACCACAGTGCTCAGGCCAAGGTCACACTTCTCCACGCTGCTCCTAATCAATGACTGAGCTTGACGAAAGCCATTTTGTTTGATTCTTCTGACAGGCAATCTTTGCTCTGGGCTCCCAGTCTCAGCCTGGCTGAGACTCTCAGAATTGCATGCAGTCAGATGCTCTTCCTACCATCCTTCCCTCCCCCCTCACACGGCCCTGCACTACAGGCTGAAACCACGTACCTCCAGATTTCTTATTAAGTATCACTGTAATTTATTACCTTTAATCAGATTATTTTGTTAGAAACAAATGCATCCTAACTGACACACCAAGCAGACAGGAAGACACAAGCATGATGTCCACCAGATGACAGATTGTAAACAGTTTGTGAGGCTGGTTTAAAAACAGAAAAATATTTAATTCAATTCCAAGAAAACATCAGGAAATGAAGAGAACCCAGGAAAACTATCTACCTATGATGGAAGAAGGATGTTACTGGCTTCATATTCTTATTCCTGAGGCTCTGATGCTTACAAGAAATTATCTTGTCCTTTGGATACTCCCAGCTGCTCAGAAATGAATTACACATATTTGTAAAAGAGTTCTGGGCCTCTGCTAAAGCTAAAGGGGAGCTAGACAGAAAGGAAAAAGGAACATCGATTTACAATAAACTGATCGAAGAACAGCTGAGTGACAGCACAGAGCCATCCTAGGGTGGGCCCTCTTATGCTCTGCTGTGAACTAAAACCCATAAAAACTAGGCTGGTCCAAGGGATGTGCTAGTCAGCCTATGTTAAGTTATAGCTTCAGTATTCTTATTTATATCTTCAGCCAAAGCCTTGCCAAGCAAAGCCCTAGACTCCTCCTTCAAGCCCCCTGCTGGTTGGTTTCATCATTATCTCGCCTCTTCCAAATCTGTAAGAAATTAATACAATAGATATTTAGGAGACGGCAATCTACAAATATTTATCAAATACCTATTCTAACCTAGGTAATGGACAGCATGTTGCTCTACTTACATATTTACTAAGTCCTCTGAAACTAATAATCTTTCAGAAAATTCCCTTTCATTCAGTTTTCACTTTTCCACCCATCCCCATCTTTCTTACTTCCCATTCCAAACTCCCTTTCTAAAAAGACCTTATTGTCAAGCCTATGACCTCAGACAAAGTTGCTAAGAGTTATCTCCAAGATGAGAAGGGTCTCCCTTTTTTTTTCACAAAGCTATGGCTTTTTCTTAGTCTCCTTCTTTGCCAGGTACAAGGGTAGCTATAAAGAGAACACAGAGACACTTTGGTCCACCAGCTCTCAACCAAATAAAGAAGACACTTAAAATAACACCATTACTGGCGCTCCAATAAAGACATGTAGAAAATGCTGCAGGATCACAAAGAGTGCTAACTTTGTGTAGAAAACTGAGAAAAGTTTCAGAGCCGACTCCTAGCTGGTGTCCTGATAATTCCAGGTTCTTCCTCTTTGAAACGAGATCACACGCCTCTGCAAAACTAACCTGGTCATACACATAACCTCTTTGCTCACTCATAAATCGTCCATACTTCCCTACTCTTCTCTTCTCTGAAAATCGCTCCTACACTTTCAAGGCCATAAAATCTCACTCCTCAGTGTATCTCAACAGGCACCCAGCCTAACCAAGGCTCTGACTCAATCCCACTTCCTGCCTCCACACACACCATTCCTCTCACTGACCCCAAAACCCATCTACTCAGTACTGACCAAGTCTGTGGCCAACTCACCTGAATGTATGCTTCCGACAGCGTGATCATCTGGGGAAGGATGTCAGTCACCTGGAGGTCTTGTAATTCATACCACTTGCCTGTCCCCTGAAAAAAGTATGAAGGGCTGGGTTAGTCTGCTCCCTAAAACCAAAAGGGTAATACAAGGAAGGGATTACAGTCAGAAGTAAGGAAATCAGAAGAGCCACTAGACTATCACCCAACAAGAGTCATAAGTAAGAGGGTGCATGACCTCTGCTAGGCATCACTCAATACCAAGAGTTTTTGGGGTGTTGATATTGGCAAACGCAATTCCTTCTGAGGATTCCTGTAAGTAAAATGGAGTCCAATCACTGCATACCTTTTAAAATTTAGGTAGACAATAAAGAGAAAAAATAAAAAGTCCTCTCCTCACCTAAGATATCTCTTTGCTGCTCAGAACTGACAGACTGTACACAGTCACCTTAGAGGTGCGGTGTTAACTATTAGACTAAAAGTGGACATTCCTACTCCCCCACCCTAGAGAACACAGCGACATTCAGTCAAGAAAAAGTGTCCTTGGTGGACACTGTCCATCGTACTATTCACTCTATTTGGCCTACAAAACCAGTCCAGCAAAATCTACCTCACTTAATGTTTCCATAAACAAGGGGAAAAGAGGTTTCTGGATTACAGTAGAGGCACTTCCAGAACCTCACCTGCCTTACCCATCCAAACTTCTAAGGAATGCCAAAGACAGACACTACAGAATATACATAGTCCAGATACTCCAATAGTTCAGAATATAGGAAACATAATAAAAGCTCAAGATCACATAATCAAGTCCCTGTTCCCAGTTCAAGGTCTGATTAAGAACATGGTGAAACCAAATCTCTGGGTTCAAATCCCAATTCTACTGACTTCAGTAGATAAATTACTCAAATTCAGCCTAAGTTTCCTTATTTGTAAAATGATGGTACTAACACCTGTATTGAAGTTGTGTTTTAAGGATATGGATGAGATGAACACACATTAAACACTTGGCATACTTTCCAGTGCACAGTACAGCGCTGGGTAAACAGAAGCTAGTTATTAAACCCAAAGTCCCAGACGACTAATCAATTAGAACAATCTGTGCTAATAATCTGTGCAATACCAAATATACCTTAAGTACATGTGTCATCCATTTCTAGCTTGAGACAAATTCACAAATTTTTTAGCTAAAAGGGAACTTCCAGACCAATACTCTGTAAACTTTAACTTCATATCAGAGGGTCTGTTAAAATGCAGCTTCCGATTCAGAGATCTGGGTGGAACATTTCTAATAATGTTCTCATGATGTCAGTGCTGCTAGTCTGAGGATCCCACTTTCAGTGTAAGGCTCCAGTCTAGGACAGTGGAATCTCCTGGGGAACTTTAAAACATCAGTGATACCTCATTCTCATCTCCAGATAATCTAATGCAGTCTCTTAACCCTGACTGATGTTTTAGGCCAGATGATTCTGTTATGCGGGCTGCCTATGCATTATTGTAGGATTTTTAGCAGCATCCCTGGCCTCTACCACAGTTGAAAACCAACAGGCACAAATTACATGGTTCTAATGTAACCAGCCTGGGGTGGTGCCCAGATATCAAGATTTTAAAATCTCCCCAGGCTCCAATGTGCAGCCAAAATTGAGAACCACTACCTTTTAAAATAACTACTTGATAGCTCTATTACTTACAGAATCCCAGTCAAGGTAAAGAAAGAGCAAACTGAAGAGAGCTGCTCTCTGAAATGCCAAAAAAACAACACTTGTTTTTGCTAGTCTGTGCCACGGGACGTCAGCACTACTCACATGATGAAGCACATGGATCCGGTAAGAGCCCTCGGAGGGCTTGCCATCATGTACGATGTTGGCAATCAGGTCGTAGGTGGTGTGCTTATGTACCGCTTGTACTTCCTCAGACAAGTACTCTCTCAGATCCACATTTCTGGTGATGATGAAAATAAAGCCAGAAGATCACACAAAGGCTACCAACTTAGGGAAACTGTCCTACACAAATGGATCACAAAGCTGTTGTACCCTATTTTAAGACTTTGGATCAAGGTAGGCCTGCGGACCCAAGGAAGCCTATGTTTGTATAATCTGACATAAAAATGAGTCAAACTAGAAAGACTGGATCTATGGGGAAAGCACATTTTAAAAGCATGTCTAGCAGTCAAAAGTGCAGGGCCTCGTCATTTGAACTTGAACTAGAATCAGGGCTCGACCACTTTGGAGCTGTGTTTGTTTAAGCAGGTTACTCAGCCTAAGGCTCTTCTATGCTATGAGAGTAAGAGTGATCGTCTCTAAGATGGTGAGGAGTGAGACAACAGGTGGAACTGCCACATCCTCTGCCAGGCCTGGGAATCAGCCACAGCAGTGGTGCTCAGGAAACACCTGGTCTCCGGCCTCAGGCTGTGTAAGGCCTGACCACGTGACTGCGTACGCTGCCACTGTGTGTAATCACAGTAACAACTTCAATATAGCGAACCAGGCAGGTCATTCCAATTTATTTTTTTCTTCAATTTTCTAGGGCCTTGCTTCTTTTTGTGATTATCTTTCTTTTAGCCAAGTAGAATAGTTACAAGTAACAGAAACCAACCCAAGGTAGCTTAAGCACAAAAGAGGAATTTATTCAAGGTTTTCAGACTAGGTAATGCAGCTGGAACTAGGCACAGGAAAAGAAACAGGACCTAAGAGAGCTACTTGCCCTCTTCCTTGCTTTTGACATCAGCTTTATTCTTCTCCCTCCTTTTGTAGACCGGCTTTTTCTTTTTTATATGACCCACCTTGGCTACCCCACAGCTTCCAAATTTCTCAGTTCTAGTTGCCAAAAGAAATTACTGACTAGGCTCCTTCAATTGGGACTTAGAAACATCAAATTTATTTTAAATATCTGAACATTCACTTCCAAACACAGAAAAGCATTCTTGATATACCTGGAATAAAAGCTCTTTTTGTGTTTTATTTATTGAACTCTATCCATCAGTTGAAGTATTAAATGTATACTGGTCATTGCAGAAGAAAGTGCTATAATAAATGCTGTGAAGATCATGCAAAGACGGTTATTAAGAACTTCCAAATAGTTTAAAAGGAAAATAGGCTGACAATTACTATGACTATTAAGAGAATACGTTAACTACATAATGTTAGGAAAAATATATCCTTTTGTAGCCTACAAATATTTATAAAAATTTAAATAACATAAGGTGGAATAAGAGACTATCATACTTCTAATTTCTGTAAACTGTCTGATGTGCTACCACTCATAACATGACACACAATAATGTTATCCCTGGAAGGATTCACAAGAAATGCTAACAGAGGATACATCCACTGGTCACTTCTAGATATTTATCTCCCTTTGAATTTTAGACTGAATATATCACCTGTCTAAAAATACAAATGTTTTCAATGTAAACCTTGTAACAAACAATCCAATTATAAAATGGGATAAGTCATGAACAGTCGTTTCACCAAAGAGGACAAAAATATGCCAAAAAGCACATAAAAAGATGTTCAATATCTTTAGCCATATGAGAAATATAAACAAATATGCAACTTTGTTCTAATTATATTACGTAGCTTTCTATGTGTTATGATAGCTATTTATTTCTATAAAATGACAGTGTCCCATATAGACTGCAGTACATATTCACTGTTAAAGATGGTTGAGATGTGAGTCTTAAGAAATCTATGTGAGCTCTAAATAACCAAACTGCCTGCCGGCTGCTAAGAGCTGGCTTTCCACGTTCTCGTCTCCTTTGCTTCAACAACAGCTGTCGGGAGTTGTTTAAATGAGTTCCTTGAGAAATCTTCAGGAGTCTTTACACTCAAGTTTTTGTTGCTGAACCAAAACTGTTTAAGTGGCAAAAGGGAATGAATATACATTACATCATTATGTTTTAGATAACAGCCAAGGGAGCAAACCATACTCATCTCCCAATCAGAACAGTCCAATTTAGAGAATAATTAGCTGGAACTGAAACTTTAAACCTGTGCTCCAAAAACCCTATCTCTAAATGAACAAAGGGCATCTAATTATTGCAAGTCTGATAAATCTCTGGTAAAAACAAGATGTGTTATGAATAAAACACAGGAGAAGAATTAGGTATGAAGAGGGTCCTTTTCAAAAAGTGAGGACTTTGCTAATCTAAAATCAATTTTTCTAAAAGTAATTACAGTACATACAGTAAAGTACAGGTTTCCAGAATTAGTCACACAATTTGATGTTCTCTAAAAGGGTGACTAGTCATGAAGCACAGACAATGTGGAGGTTAGGCATGCCGATCCCCTGCACAACTGAAAATCCACATATAATTTTTTGACTCCCCAAAAACTTAAATATAATCATCCCTTGGTATCTGCAGGGGACTGGTTCCCTCCTGCAGATACCAAAATCCGGGGATGCTCAAGTCTCTTATATAAAACGGCCTGGAACAATGCATGCGGTAGGCCCTCCACATTCTTGGATTTCCAACCATAGATTGAAAATACTGTTTTCAATCCAAGGTTCATTAACTCCCAGATGTAAAACTCTGGGATACAAACAGCAGATTGTATATTTGTTGGAAAAAAAAAAAAAATGCAAGCGTAAGTAGACCTACGCAGTTCAAATCCATGTTGTTTAAAGAGCACCTGTAATCTTTTTCTCAGCTTCTCCAAGGTAAGCCTTCTGAACATTGTCCAGGCCCAATATAAAAGAAACTAATGGGATAAGCAAATTTCTGTGGTGACTGAGCAGGAACTACTACCCATACACAGTCCTCCTTCCTCTGTTGCTGCCCTGGAGACCAGAGTACCCCTTCCTACCAGGAACAGACTGGAGACTGTGGCAATTCACAACAGTCCAGATCTAAAATAAAACTCTGATATGCAGATTTTCAAAGAAATCTCCTCTGTGGTCCCACTAAAGGTAACAGAAAGCTGGCCTCCACATCCCCAATTTAATTCTACTTGTCACACAAACAAGATGGTAGTGAAGAATAGGAAGAAAAGTGTGGGGAAAGAGAAAGAGAAATTCTTTATTTCTAACTACAAAAGTTTTATATTCTTACCCCTCACTGTTCTCAGATTCTTGGTAATCATGAAATCAGAAATAACAAAATGTTATACCTGGAAGGACCCCTAGGGCTCATCTAGCTCAAGCCTCTCATTTTATCCATGAGACAATACATCCAGAAAGTATGCAAATAACTTGGCCAACGTCACACAGCCAGGACAGCCCAAAACCCATCTCTTTAAGTTTAGATACTACCCTCTTAAATACCACACAGAGTTAAGAACTGCAACTGTTTCCAAAGGAGAAAATTGGCCGTCCTGGTAATAGTTTGGGCAACCAGGTAATGGAAGAGGATAGAGGGAGAAAGAAAAGAGATCAGCATTTGTCCACTACGACTTCCAAACTACTTTGTGAAGTTTAAAAAAAAAAAACTATTGAGCTAAACATCATGTTAATCCTATCATATATCCATCCAAATCCTTCCTATCATATATCCATCCAAATCCTAAGAAACTGTCTTAGGGCTCTGCTCTTACATTAGCTAAAGGCCAGCAAATAGAGACCTATACTTCTTCCTGCCAATTGTGCCACCAGGTTTCTCCATGTTCTGAGATGTCTTCTTCAGAATGTGAAAAAGATACTCTAAAGAGTGTCTCTTTAGAACTTAAAGCCAACTGCCTACCCCGAAAAGGGTCTTGCAGGAACTTTCTGAATTAGAAGGTGGCAAAGTAAAAGCACCTGATACAACACCTCCCACTTTCCTTTAAAATACTAATAAATGTTCATTAAAGAAAAACAACGGAATGGTAAACATAAAATAAGACCATACATCAAAATTTATAACTTCCTGATTATTAGGAAGAAATTAGACATATTCCAGACTTTACCCTCTGGAGAAAAAATAAGACAGAAGGACTCCAAGATGAGAAAACAAATCAGTGGTGTCATCCCCACTGTCCACTCCTAACTACAGTGTGTAAGAAGATGCGAGGACCAGCAAATAGATAGACATACTCTAACTGCTCAGGATTATCTTCAAAGCCAGACAGAATCCTATCTGTCCTATCCTACTTTAATCAACCATTCTTCCCTACTACCTGTCCTACCCTTCCTTCACCGACTGTTTTCCCCTACATTAAAGGACTACAATTCCCAACAAGCCACAAGAGAAAAGGTAAAAGGATGATTGCCTCCGGGTAAACATTTATCCTTGAGGCCCCTGATATATTTGTAGCCTTCCAATAAAAACCCTTATGTAGTATAGGTAGGCTCTGTTACTTGCAATCTCCAACTAAGTAGTCCAAAATTAATAGTGGTACAAAATACAAAAAGAAATTTAGGCTCACTCCCAAGAGGAAGATAGGGAGGAAGGCAGGGTAATACTCACGTAATAGGGAAGTTGACAATAGTTGGATTCTTCTCCACAAAAAAATTGTTCTTAGTGAATCTCTTAATACAGAAGATTAAATATGGAGGCAGCTTGGTAAGCTGGAAGCGCTTCAGAAAGTTCTCCTTATAAGTCTTATATTCCTAGAAATATAAAATTATCAAATTAGTGCTGGAGTATTGGAGTAAGGGCATGAGTTTTTGTTTTTGTTTTTTAATATAATTTTCCCTTACACTTAGAATTCACAAGACACCTAATCCCAGAAACCACATACAAGGCAGGAATAGCACTTTGGCTAAGGCTAAAATCCTCAACTGTGGGCTGTGTTTCAACCAGCACATGATCATACTATTGAACTCTAACCACAATAATGTGGTATCCGTTCCTACAAAGAAAACGAAACTGTCAAATGAAAAAGAGGATTTGTTAAAAGCTGTAGAATTAAAACCAAGAAAGTCTCACTTAATTCAAAATAAGGAAGAACTTCTGACCATTAGATGTGTGCACCCATGGAACAGGTACTTTTGAAGCAGTGAGAAACCCTCATCATTGAGGGTATTTCAGTAGAGGTATCAACACACAGCTCACATTCCTTCCTCCTCAAAGGTCTCAAGAATTGTGGGTCAAGTGCAATATATCAAGCAACATTTACTGAGGACTCATTCAGCATGTTTGAGGAGATGGAGTGATGGAGGACCCAGGACAATCTCCTAAGCCCAAGAGGTTTAAAAGCTAGTGCATATAAATTTATTTTTCCTTAACACAACACAATTTAGTACAGCAAAAGCTAAGTGACAGGAGTAAAAAACTAATCATAACCAGAGAATAAACGCCAATGAGAACATCTCTCTCTGGAGTAGCTGAGTTCTGGAGGTAACAAGAGATCTCTTTAGGGACTCCCAAGTTTCCCAGGAAAACATTTTAATTTAAAACTAAGATACCAAAAAACTAATTTAGGATATATATACTCCAAAACCACCTGAATGATGACCTTCTAAAATATCAAGTAAGAGTTTCACTTCCAGGATTACAGCATGAGGAGCTCCAAAGAACTGCTCACCAATAAAACTAGTAAAAAGTATTTTAAAAAAAAACCACCACCACCACCACCATTTAAATTCTCTTGAAATGGTCCTAAGAGCATAAAGCAAATGAAGAAACATTTATTAAAGAAAATGTTTTTTAATTTTTTTTCTAAAATGTTAGTAAATCTAATTCAGTAAGAAATATGAGAGTCTATGGTATCTGAACCAAGGCCTGTCTCTTCCTCTCTCTCCTAACTCAGTGAGAGGGAAATTCTCTCCAGACTGGTAAAGCTGACAACACAGGGCTCTCTCCCCTTAGCTCCCAGAGGACTACCTTCCCAAAAGAGGCAGTATGTCAGCATTTCTCATTCCGCCCCCGGCTACCTGTTGCTGAGACTAAGTTTCCAGCGTGTGCCCAAAATACATGAAGCCATGGGAGGTTCAAGATGGCGGCAGCATAGGAGGACACTGAACAAGCTTCCTTGCATCAGTGATTCAAATATACACGTATATTGAGAACAATTACTTTTGGAGACAACTAAGGGCTGAATGAACAGCTTCTGAACAAACTGAAGAGACCTAAGAGGGACAGCTGAGAAACCATGGGAGTCCTTCAGAAACTGTGGGAACTCTCTAGGCTGGAGGAGCTGGTGAGCACCACTGTTTATGATCCCCTATACTGCGATGGGGTGGCTGAGAGCTCTTTGGGTGCTTTGACCAACCTGCAAGATTATGCAGTGTGTTCCCAACTATCCTGCCCAGGGCCTTTTGCCTCCAAACAAAGGGAGCAAGCAGGAATAACAAGGCCTTGTGGACCTGACATCCCTATTGGAAGCTGCTCCAGCCCAGCAGGCTAGTGCCCCAGGCACTATAAGTGCCTGCCCCAAATCTACCCAGCACATAAAGCCTACACAGAGGTCACTTCTTCACAATACCACTTTTGGTTCAACAAACAAGTCTGTGTACAGAAGGCTGGAATGCTGCAGGAACTCTCTAGGGACTGTGGAATTTTTCCAGGGTCGGAGGTCTGGTGAACGCCATTGCCTACATCCACCTCCACCTTGACAGGGTACACAGGAGCTCTATCCTGGTGCTGTAGCCTACCTGCAAGGTCACCACATTGCATTCCTGGACACATCTCCTAAGCCCACTTCGACCCCAAACAAAGGGAGCAAGCAGGATCAACAGGGCATTACTACACACACCTGGCCTTCCTACCCAGAGTCACTCCAGCTCAGTAGACCAGTGCCCTGGACACCTTAGGCATCCACTGGGCTCTTACTGGCCTGCCAAAAACACCCAGCACAAACAGCCTACCCACAGGCCATATCTACATAAGGACACTTTTTCAAGACTGGAAGAGATAGCTATTTTGTCTAATTCATATGAACAAATATAGATAGTCAAACAAAAGAATATCTCCAAATGAAGGAACAAGAAAAATCTTCTGAAAAAGACCCTAAGTAAACAAAAATAATTTACCTCATAAAGAGTTCAAAGAAATGGGCATAAGATGCTCACCAAAGTTGAGAATGAAACAGAGAAACTTAGGAAGAACTTCAACAAAGAGTTAGAAAGTATAATAGAACCAAGTAGACCTGAAGAACAACCGAAATGAAATTAAAAAAAAACACTTTAGAAGGAGTCAACAACAGATTAGGTAACACAGAAGAACAGATGAGCTACCTGGAAAACATGCTAGTGGAAATCAACCAAACAGAACAGCAAAAAATAAGAATAATAATAATTTTTAAAAACACGATAATTTATAAGGGATCTCTAGGATAACACCAAGCACTCAAACATTTGCATTGCAAGGAAGAAATAGGGAAAGGAAACAGACATCCAAGTCCAGGAAGCACAAAAAGTTCCAAATACAATGAATCCAAAGAGACCCACACCAAGACGTACTATATTTAAAATGGCAAAAGTTAAAGATGAAAAGACAATCTTGAAGCAAGGAGAAAACAAAAAATAATAGACAAAAGAAACCCGATAAGGCTATCAGTTGATTTCTCAGCAGCAACTTTACAGGACAGAAGGGAGTATAGGACATCTTTAAGTGTTGAAAGGAAAGGAACCTAGAATAATTTACCCAGCAAGGTTATCATTCAGAATTGAAGGAGAGAGAGTCTCCCAGACAAGCAAAAACTATAGAAATTCATCACCACTAAACCAGTTTTACCAAAAAAAAATGTTAAAAGGTTTCCTTTAAGCAGATAAAGAAAGCCCATTACCGGAAATAAAAAAATATGAGAAAGGAAAAAAACCTCACGCAAAGCCAAATATTTAATAAATACAGTGAATTGGACATTTAAAAAGCTATTGCAAAGGTCAAAAAAAATATATCAAACTCAAACTATAAGTAGTTAAGAGATACACTATACAAAAAGGTCTAAAACATGACATCAATAACAAAGCATGGAGGGGGAAGTAAAAATGTAGTCTTTATAGAATATATTAGAACTCAAATGTCTGTCAGCTTAAAATAGACTGCTACAGATATAGGATGATATATATAAACCTCATGGTAACAACAAACCAAAAACCTCCTAAAGATATACAAAGAATAAAGAGAAAAGAACAAAGGGAAAATTCTAAAGAAAACCAGCAAACCACAAGAAGTCAAGAGAAGAAAGGAACAGAAGGGAACTAAAAAATAACAAAAAAAATTTAACAAAATGGTAATTAGTACATACTTAACATGTAAATGGGTTAAATGCTCCAATAAAAAGACAGGCTGGCTGAATGTATTAAAAAACATGACCCATCTATATAGTGCTTACTAGAGACTCACCCTAAATCAAGACATAGAGATTAAAAGTAAAGTGATGAAAAAAGATAGTCCATGCAAATAGAAACAAAAAGAAAGCTGGGGTAGCAATACTCATATCAGACAAAATAAACTTTAAAAACAAAAAATGTAAAAAAAGACAAAGATATAACATAACTATAAAGGGCCAATCCAAGAGGATATATAAATTGTAAACATCTACATACCCAGCCATAGGAGCACCTAAATATTTAAAGCAATTATTAACGGATGTAAAGGAAGAAATGTACAGTAATACAATAATACTAAGGAAGTTTAATACCCTACTCACACCAATGGATAAATCATCCAGACAGAAAATTAATATGGAAATAATGGCCTTAAATGTCACATTAGACCAGATCGACTTAATAGACATTTATAGAACATTCATCCAAAAACTACAGAATACACGTTTTTTCCCCAAGTGCACATGGAACATTTTCCAGGACAGATCACATATTAGGCCACAAAACAAGCGTCAGTAAATTCAAGAAGATTGAAATCATATCAAGCATCCTTTCCGACCACAAGGGTATGAAGCTAGAAATCAACTACAGAAAGACAAATGGAAAAAATTTAAATACGTGGAGACTAAACAACATGCTACTAAACCACCAATGGCTCATAGAACTCAAACAGGAAATCAAAAACTATTTTGAAACAAATGAAAACGCAACTTTTCAAAATGTATGAGATATAGCAAAAACAGTTCTCAGAAGGAAACTCATAGCTATACAGGTGTACTTCAAGAAAAATCACAATCTAACCCTACATCTGAAGGAACTAGAAAAAGGACAAACAAACCCAAAGTAAACAGAAGGAAGGAAATAAGTTCAAGGCAGAAATAAACAAAACAGAACTTTAAAAAGCAGAAAAGATCAATGATACTAAGAGCTAGTTCTTTGAAAAGCAAACAAAAATTACAAACCTTTAGCCAAACTCAAGGAAAAAAAGAGAACCCAAATAAATAAAATCATAAATGAAAGAAAAGTTACAACCAACATCACGGAAATACAAAGAATCATTAAAGAATACTACAACTATTATTAAAGAATACTACAACTATTATACACCAACAAATTCAAGAATCTAGAAGAAACTAATTGAAGCAGTAATCAAAAAATTCCCAACAAATAACAGTCCAGGACCAGACTGCTTCACAGATGAATTCTACCAAACTTTCAAAGAATGCCTATCCTTACACTATTTCAAAAAAATTAGAGAAAGGAACACTTCCAAAAATCATTCTATAAAGCCAGCATTATCCTCATACCAAAACCAGACAAAAATATTACAAAAAAAG